GGTACTTCGGTGGGTCAGTGGCGGCGGTAAACCTCGTCACGTGTGCCCTGGCCCCCACCTTTCTCTTTATATAGTGTTGTGTGACAGGGGCCCGCCGACCAGTTGTCGGTTAAGCGTCCCCGATTAGGACGTGGTCAAGGGGTCCGATTGGCCGTTGGGTCAATTGGTGGAGATCAAACTAACAGAGAGATCTCAGAGCAATAGAGCATTGACATAGAATAATCCCCTGGTGGTAGTGTTTATGCAGTCAACAAGGGCTCGAAACATATGAATAATAATATGGTCCCGCAGTGCGGATGGAAAGCAGTTGTTGATGCCCATAGCATGCTAGTATAAAGGAGAATGACTCGTTGCTGTTCCAGCACATTGAGAACGCCCGTTCTAAGGTTCTGATACTCGGGCCCTGATGAGCGGGAGAAGTATTTCCCTGTGATGGAATCAAAATCAGTTCTAACATCCAAGAACGAGATACAGATTGTGTTGTTGTTTCAGATAACTCCCATCATCCCATGACCGTACCAACTACCAAGAAATCATCAAGAGTCCGTAAAAGAGTCTGAGGAATAGTCCAAGTCAACGTAGAAAAACTGCAAGGATCACCACAACAGCCTCTTCGTCTGAGGAATAATCAGGACCAGACTCTGAGGGCACTGCTGAATATGAATCGTCTTTAGGGTTAGATGATCCTCAGACCTCAGACAAATCTGGCGCTTGATTATGTCTTATCACACATGAGTGATCTATATCTGCAGAACAAGAGGAGGAAGCAGTAGTTGCACTTATCAAGGAAATCCAGCCTAAAATTAGTGTAGCTGTGGCTGTCACGAAGACGAGCAATGTCAAATCACAATATATGCTGTGTAGAGCTCTGGGACAAAATTCACTGTGGGAGTTTATCTAATTCGTCAGTCAAAAGTCGACACATTACGTGAAAATGGAAATAGTCCGGTAGAGGAAGAAGGACGACAAAGGTAAATGGCCCTAAAATTTGTGAACTCAAGTGAAGGGTGACACCGACGAACTGTGTCAAGGAAGAACCAGCCGACCAGCCGGCCAGGAACCTCTTGAGTCTTACGGTTCTGGCGGACCTTAAAGCTCTTTGCATTCTATTGGGCCATGCTGATTTGGCTGATGAGCAAAGGAAGAAAGTGGAAGATATTAGTTCGCAGCATTTTGGATCTGAAGTTCCCATCCACTGTACGTGACAGTAATGCACAAGAGCAGTGTTGCTGCCAACAGCACCTGTGTTTTCACTTTCCAGAGTTATTAGTTATTATATATACAGTATAAATTTGGTGGAAGAAGAAAAAAAAAAGAACTGCAATGGGATCGGTGAGTAACAGCTAGCACGCGGCAAATTCAGTAGCGCAAGTCAACAACGGCAAGCAATCTGGGCGACGGCAAAGCAGACGCAGACATCGATCGATGCGACACAGCGCGAGGGGCAACACATACGGAAGCCGATCAATGGCCTGCTTCCAGCAAGCCAGGAGCGCAGCAGGGCTTCATATCATATGGCGCAAGGCGATTGGACCGAAACCGCCGTGGGCCAAGCGTGCACGAAGCGCGGGGCTGGGGCAGAGAGAGTAGAGTCCAGAGGCCGTGCGCCGTGCACTGCCGGCCAGGCGGCCACGGCTTGTTCGGGACGACGGCTCGTTTCGTTTACCCCTGTGGCCTGGGGTGGTGGTGGTGGTGGTGGTGCGGGCGCGCGGGCCGGCGTGGCAGACACGGAACATGTCGGCCGCACATGGGGCAGAGCGCGTGCGCCGGGGCGGAGGGAGAGCCGAGCCGTGGCGAGAGCTAGGGATGGTCAACCGGCACATGCCCATGCTGCCGTCCATCCAGCATCCACACACCCCCTGACTCATCGACGCAGCTGTTTTCCGCACCGGCACGCGACAGTCCCGGACCGTCGTTCACCGCGTTGGCCACGACATTTCAACGGGGGCCCAGCATGCCGGACGTCCGGTCCGGTCCCCTGATGGCAACCCGTTTCGGTTTCGCACAGGGTCTGCGCCGCGCCGCAGGAACAGGAAGGGCACGAGCACGGCGATATTTTCCTCCGCCTTCCGTTCCCTGCGCGCATCACGCACAGCCCGTTGAAACGACGTTGCGTTGCGTTGTCGGAATCGTTGGACTTGCCCGCCGCGCATGTCCCTGTTCCTCGTCTCTGAAACGCACAGGACTACTGCTGGAAGCCCAAGACGTGTGGCGCAGGGCAGAGCTGAGCAGGAATTACCCAATACGACATGCGAGGACAAACGTACGAGGCCCCGCGGGTGCGGATCAGCCTGGTAACTCGTTCCCCGAACGGAGCAGGATCTCCCGGGCCTGCATGCATGTGGCGACACCGTGCCGACAACTGCGACCGGAGTCCTTCCAGCTGCGCGCATAGGCTTTCTGGAATCCCAAGGATACCCATGCATCCCAATCATGGAGGGCTCGCCGGTTGGTTTTCACTCGCCGCAAACAGCCAAGGAAGCCGGAGAAGGAAGGGGGCAGACAACGCAACACTGCCATGGCTGCTACCGTATGGTTTTCCCTTGATCTTTCCAGGGACAGCAGGGCGTTGGTTCTAAAAAGCTGCATGGGTCCTCCGACTCCGATCCTCCGGTCATCCATCCCAGTGGGGCATGCATGCAGGGCAAATCCATGTGCCACGATCCCCGGTAATAACGTCCTTAACCATATGCTTTGCAGGTCGCTCGGTGCTTTGCCACTTGCACGGCATAGGTTTTTTGCAAGTCGTGGTCGCATCGATCCACCTTCGCGGCAAGGCAGCTCAGAGTAATGTGGACTGTGGAGAGGCGCAGAGGCGGACAGCAACACGCATGCGACCCGTCGCGGCGTGGTGCCAGCGCAAGCGCAACCAGCTTTGGGGGCTCCCGGGTCCCAGCCCCTTGCGGGCGGCCCGGCCGGGCGAGCTGCGTCACCAGCAAGACACCAGGAGGGAGTTGAAAGCAACGGAGCGGTACTGGGAGAGCCCCCCATTTTTGTCCATCTGTGATCATGGCTCCATTTGTGCCATTGGACCAGCTGGAGCCCATGTGTCCGGAGGCTGAGAGGAAGGCCAGGAGCTCATGGGTCAGAGAGCGCTTCGATTTCTTCTCCACAGGCACAGACCACAGAGAAAGAAAACAAAAGAAGCGCGAAAGGCGTTTGGCACCGATCGATCGATAGAGATGTGCTGCACTGGTTCTCCCCTTCTTATTCTTCTTCTCTTCTTTGCATGGACCCATCGCGTCACATTGTAGCATTGTACCACAGATATGAAATGAGTGCTATCCTGCTGATAGATGCCCCCCCGGGTGGTTGCACCACGAAGTGGGCAACAGAGCGTAACACGTTTTCACACAGCACTTAGTAGCAATGATGTCAAGTGTGGTTTTAGTTTCCACTGTGTTTTTTGAAGTGCGATTTTGGCTTGTAATACTTGGTTTCTTGCTTTGGAAGTTTGGAGAGCTTGCCCAAATCTCGTATTACATTCATACACTGTAGGGCTGTAGGTTGTAGCTGGGTTAACAACCCACCAGCACAAATATGATGAATATTAGTCTCTAAAGGAAGCTGATGGACTAAACGTACCCCGCCCTGCTGGGCCAACTCACGTACTCCCTCTGGTTCTCTAAAGCAAGTCGTTTTGGACATCGACACGGTCTTTAAGAAACGACTTTGACTGTACCTTTTTGCTATAAAATATTTATAAAATATAGTCAATATATACTTTTATGAAACTACATTTCGAGATAAATCTACTTACATCACTTTCATATTTTCAAACTCAACCCAAAAAAAATTATTTGTAGTCAAAATTTAAAATGTTTGACTTAAGACAACCTCAAAACGACTTGCTTTAGAGAACCGGAGGGAGTACGCACGAATATGATTCACAAGTCGACGACCCTATGACTTGCTCGACGAGACCAAAATAAATACAGTGGCTAGGAAGGCACCGACGCATGGCTCCAAATCAGCCCGCCTGCTGGGACAACTATAGCGGCGCTTCCGGCCGGGTGGGCCCCGCCCGTGAATAATCGTTGACCGTTTGACCCGGGCTGCTACTCTGGCTCTGGTCAATCTAAAACCGCACATGTTGTTAGGATTTTTTTTGTTTGTTTACTGGTATTTCTATATATCAAAGCAGGAAGGTTTAGCCGCCAACCAGGCCATCCACGTCGCCCGAAATTCCGCCCGCCGTTCGATCTCGTGTTCGAAGGCTCAGATCAGTCGAAGCGGATTCTGTTACTTTGGCCGCCTCTCGCAGCATCCACGTCGCCCCGATTGTTCTAGGCCGTCGGATCCGCCATCGTGTGGCCCTGACTGCATGTAGACGCTTCCTTTAGAATCTACTTCTTCTACCTCCTCGTCGCTCTATATTGATTTTGCTAGCTTCTGCGGCTTCTCGTGCGAATCCGGTGGAGCAAATATATACTCCAGCTCCTGATTCTCCTTCAGGAAACTTCTCATCCCCTCCTCTCCCTCTCTCCTATACACTCCCTCCCTCGCTCCCGACTCGCGACGCGGCTCAGGCGACGGCGCGGGACGACCTCGGCGGTGGCTGGCCCTCCGCACGGCGGTGGCCTCCCTCCTCCTTCTCCTCCTCCTCCAACTCCTCCTCCTCCTCCTCCTCCACCACCACCACCACCACCACCACCACACCACTTCCTCCTCGCGACGCAAGGCAGTGGGTCGCGCGGCCTAGGGTTTCGCCCCTCCGTCACCGGTTGTCCCCACGGCTGAGCGGCTAGCCAGCGGAGGCCCTGACGCATCGGAGGGCTCTGGCGGCGGAGGAACCTCCGTGGTGGGCGTGGATGACGACGGGGAGGTCACGTCAGCAACCTCAGCGGTGGATCTAGAGCGGCCGCTCGTGGGGCCCCTCCCGGTGGCCAATCTGAAGCTGGAGCACGGCGTGGACCTCGCGCAGGCAACGGAGCCGGTGGATCTACGGCGAGCAGGCGGATCCAGCGTGAGCCCTCCCCGTCTCCACTAGATCCGGCTACATGGCCTCCACCGATGGCTGGTGCGTGGGCGGCACGGTGGCACACGTCTGCGAGCTGGCCCCCGCTGGCCCCTGCAAGTGGCCGGGATGCAGCTCCTTTGACCTCGCCTCACACCTGGACCTCAAGCTCGCCCGCCGCATCGGGAGCGGCCCGCCTGGGCCCACCGGGCAGGAGGTGTGGGCCGACATGCTGTCTCGTGGCGGTGGCAGCGGCGGGGTCAAGCGGTGCAAGCACCGGGTGGCAGTGAAGAGGGTGCCCCTGGCCGTAGGGGACGGGCTCGAGGTTGTTCAGGAGGAGGTGAAGTGGTTGAGGCACGCCTCCACATGGTGTCGGAACGTGTGCACATTCCATGGTGCTGTGAGGGTCGGCGGCCACCTCTGTTTCGTCATGGATCGCTAGGTCGGGTCTGTGCAGGCGAAGATGCAGCAGAATGGTGGACGCCTCATGCTAGAGCAGATTCTCAGGTCTGGCATTGCATCTAAACGTCAGTACTTAGTAATATTGAGTAGCTATTCTTTCTGCTTTTGTCGTGCCAATTATCGCTGCAAACATATCAGATTGCAACATAGCTCTCACTTTTATTGTTACTCAGTACTCAGTAAGAACTAAGAAGCATGCCTAGCTAGAACCTTCACTACAGGTGGCAAATTGTGTAGTATGACAGCTTGGTTTGAGAGGTGTGAAGTGATTGCCTTGTTAATGGCGTTATGCGTTTTGATTTTGTTGGTGCTGCTAGCTGTTTTGTTTGCTTATCTTCTATTATTGTAAGGAAGGTCAAATTGGTCACAATTAATGCTTATCATGTCGCTTGCCATTTTGGTGCAATGCCGTGATATATTTTGTGAATATCATAACTTTGGCTTGCAATTTGCTCGCTGAGTCAATTACCATCAAGTTATCAAGTTGTGGAGCTTCATTTTTTTATCTATTATCAGCTCAGTGTGGCTAACACTAATATATATATGCTGAAATCATTAAAGTTCCTATGACATGCATATGTGTGAATGAAATTTCTACGAGAATTAACATCACTGCAGGAAATTTATGAAGTGCTGTGATTTTCCCAGCAGTATTAGGCACCGGCACATTTAACATTTCTCTGCAAGACCCATGTGGTCTTTAGAATGTAGGTATCTCCTTTCCTACCTTGCCGGCGCGCGCGAGGGCGCGCGTGATGAACTAGTGAAGTATTGGCAGCACGACCAGTGAAGTTTTCGGTTGTTCTCGATAAACGACATTTTCCGTAGTTGTTTTCCGTTGTCGGTTCTCCTTTTCTTCCGATTTGCTCATAAAACATATAGTTCTATTCCCTCGGTCCTAAATTAAATAAACTTCTTTAGGTGTCCTAAGTTAAATTATTTTAAATTTAACTAAATTCATAGAAATAACACCAATGTTCATGACGTGAAATTATTTTTAGAATGCATGCAAAGTCTAGCGATTCAAATAAGACGAATATAAATGTATGATGTTACAGATTGAAAGATGAGAGCTGACTAGGCTAGTCTATTGCTGCCAAATTGACAACACACGGTTAGATCTAACACATAGAACAAGAAGTTAAGACAATCATCAAAAGAAGTTCTAAGGTAGACAGCAAGCTAGAACATTAAATTGTAGCCAGTGTAGTGAGGATATGATGTGGGTTATAATTCTGCAACACACTTATAATTTTGGTCTTTAGGAAGCTAATAAGGCACATATACTCTCAAGCCTTTAGTTATATTTTATAGTTTGAAGATTTGAACTGATCCTTCGAGGCATTCTCTGTCAATGCAACAAATAACATCCACAAGAAAAATCCACAAAAGCATATGTTGCACGTAAACTTTACTGATATGTTATATTTTTTACTCCCTCCATCCGAGAAAGAATGTAATTCTTACTTCCCGATGAGTCAAACAATGTTAAATTTGATTAAATCTAAAGAAAAATTAAAACATTTATGATACCAAATAAATATTATTATATTGATTATAAAATATATTTTTATAGTAAATCTAACTGGGGACATAAATGTTGATATTTTTCCTAAGAACTTAGTCAATAGAAAAGATTGACTTATCCAAAACCTAAAATTATATTTTTTTGGACAAAGGAGTATTGTATGTTTAAAGGAATTGTTGCACTATTAGTTGACTTCAAGGTGTCTTGTTCAGTCTCTTGCTAGGAAACCGACATCACACATTTTGGCGAAGAATTGAAACAAGTAATAATGAATACATCACCAGTTCACCACTTGTATATTGTTCTAGCACACCACCCCATGAAAGCCAGCACAGCAACTAAAACATTTCTATTGTACTCACCTCCGTATTAAATTATAATTTATTCTTTGCATCTCTAGGTACATAGTTTTTGTTACGTATCTACCTAGAAAAGGCAAAACGACTTATAACTTAGAACAGAGGGAGTACAGTCTACGTGGTACAAGCAACCCACACAATAATATCAATGTTTTCCTAAACACTAAAGCTAATTGTCGGTGTTTCGAGTTACCACCAACGAGTAAATTTTTAGTATTACGTGTCTGGCTCGGATGATGTGTTTAGAGGATATGAGATTTATACTGGTTCGGGTAGAATGTCCCTACGTCCAATTCATCGCTGCTGCTCGTGTTACTAGCACTAAAAGTTTGTAGTAGGGGTTACAAACGGGCGAGAGAGAGACATGTCTCAAGTCTCTAGTGGAAAGAGTGGACGGGTGCCAAGAGCTCGGTTGCAGCTCAGCCGTCTGCTTTTGTTGTGATCTGGTCGGTTCGAGGTTCGATGGGTTCATGATGGTTCGATCGGTTCTGGCCTCAATTGACCAATCCCCTTCGTGGGGAGCCCTGCTTTCCCTTTTATAGGCCAATGGAAAGCATGGGTTACAGCGGAGGGAAAGAGAAGAACGAGAGAGAGCCGAAGGCCTTTAGGATCACCAGGTCCTTATCCTTCATGCAGGTCTCGCCGACCCTGTAGATGTCAACAGGGACGGCTCCATGTCGTGGCCCTGTCCGTCACTGACACCATGCGCAGGCATCGTCTGCTGGTCATGGCACTCCATTCCGTCTTGGCGGACGTCGTGGTGTACTAACGCGCCTGTCAGTGTTCATACGAGGGTTAGGCAGAACATCACCGGTATGCCCGACGCAGTTCCTGATGTGAATCCTCGGGTATGGCCCGTCGTGGCCGTGGGTTACATCGAGGCGTGCCAGTTGCCTCCCTGATGTTAGAGCTTTGACCCAGGCCCATACACTAGGACCTAGAGTGGTTGGTGGCGGCATGGGTCTCCGTCGGGCAAGGTGGAGCCCACGGCCTTGGGGTTCAGCAAGGTTAGTCCTCCCCTAGAGGCTAGGCGAGGCGGAGCACAAACCCAAGGGTCGGGCGAGGCGGAGCGCAAACCCAAGGGTCGGGTGAGGCAGAGCCCACGACCTTGGGGTCGGGCGAGGCGGAGCCCTCCCCCAGAGGTCGAGCGAGGCGGAGCACAAACCCAAGGGTCGGGCAAGGCGGAGCGCAAACCTAGGGGTCGGGCGAGGTGGAGGTCGTGGCCTTGGAGACGGGCGAGTCGAAGCTCTCCCCTAGAGGCCGAGCGATGTGGAGCCCTCCCACAGAGGTCGGGCGAGGCGGAGTGCAAATCCAAGGGTCGGGCGAGGCGGAGCACAAACCCAAGGGTCGGGCGAGGTGGAGCCCGTGGCCTTGGGGTCGAGCGAGGCGAAGTCCTTCCCCAAAAGGCTCCCCAGAGGTCGGTCGAGGCGGAGCCCGTGCGCCTGAGTGTCGGTTGGAGTCGTACTCGCGCTCTTGAGTGTTCGGATGAATTAATGTTGACGACCATTAACCCCTCCTCTTTGGGTACTCTAGTATTGGTCCCCGATAGTAGCCCCCTATAATAGAACAGTCCAATTTATAAGAGCACAAGTATAATAGCAACCACCGGGGCAGTCAAACCATCACACTTGAACCCATATAAATCCGGTAGTCCATCGAGTATCACGAAGGATCTCGAATCAACCAACATACAAGCCAATATCGTACATGATTCAACATACAAGTCACATGTTACAACAAGTTCACAAATAGTTTGTCATACATCGGAGTTCCATTACAGTTGTTACAACAACAGTTTAACAGTAGCGGAAGCAACATAGTTCTGAACGACATCAACAGTAGTTTAGATACCTACCCAGTTTTCACAGTCATCTCCAACCAAAAGCACAAGGGTGAGATGATATATAGAATGACCATGCCCATGGTCTTATTCCTCATCCACTGTAGGAGCAAAGGAGTGCTTACAGTAGCCATGGTACATCACGTTATCTGCAACAATATGGAAATAAGCCCTGTGTATGAGAAGGTACTTAGCTAGACTTACCCGTCATAAACCAAAAATAAGAGACACCAAGGATCATGCAAGGCTTATAAGTGGATCTGGTTGACATCCTTTGCCTACAAGCCAATATATATCTAGTATCTTTTAACTTTGAAATAATAAGTTTATTATTCCTGTTCCATTCTAGATTAGCATCTATCCTATGCCAAACATGTTGTGTACCATTAAATCATCACAATAGTAACCATATCAAGTTGAGCATTTCCATAATCCACATAACCATTACTTTCATCAATTACTATGATGAAGGGGGCTCATGTCAAGTTCTCACTATCTGAGAGAGACGGCGATTCGATTCGATTCCTACCCAGCTGGGGAATTATTCCTAACACACACCCATACTCCCCCTGTCAAGGTCGCATAGGGTCACCTTTGGTACAACTTAGGTCCAAATCATGGGTAAGACCAGCGCCGCACCCCCAAAGATACTACCAATCTGATAGGAGGCTCGGGACTCGAACCCGCCCTTGGACTCACGCCATTGGCTCTCCGCACATCCTTACTGCCTCTAGGGTGCGCACTTTAACTGCTCGTGTCCCCAGCCTAAGTTGAGCTACTCAGCTTCACGGTCGAAATGACTTATCCGGCCAACTATGTGAGACGCATGCGTTCAACATGACCAGAGGGCTTCTAACGGCCGGTCCTTAAAAGACACAGACGGAATCACTATAAGTCACCACACCTAACATATAAGATTCCACTCGGTCTCCAATTATTCAACATCACTAGGTTATGTTCCACGATAGCACAATATAGCCAACCGTGATCAAGTCACCACCTATAGCTCGTAGGTGATAGGAAATCACCCGACTTCTACCGGTCTAAGCATGGCTAAGCATGAAGTCCGATCCTCGACCTACATAGGATTCAAGATAGATATTTCTGGACAAGGAAAGTATATGCAACAAGTGGTTCCAATCAACTTTTATAACCTAATGCATCAAACATAAAGGACTCAAGTAATATCTTGTAAAACATGGGAGACTTAGAATGCTCCGGGGCTTGCCTTTCACAAACGTGGCCGGCTGGTG